CGTTCCAATATGGCACAAGTGTCCACTGCGCATGCTCTGCCGCCTATATGCCTCTGAGCCTGGCTTCATCGTCATTACACCGACTTCCATCTTCGCGCACACAATAAAACATGTGACAGGCAGAGTCACGGCACATGTTTTAAACACAAACACAAAAGAAAAGAACGAATCCGGACATTTCCCGCTGACAAGAACTGATACAAAAAGCCCGACGAGTCGTCAAAGCGGTTTTTATCCGCGCTGGAAGCAGGACTCATTCAATGGTTGAACTGGGTTTTATTGAAAATATAGGAAAATAAACCCACTTTCGATAAGTGGTGGGTTTTTTTCCACATTAAAATCAGATAGACTGTCGAAGATGGAGGAGCTTTTTATATTTTTATTATCATTATTATTTTCAGTGTATATTTTTATAAGTGGAAAAATGAGTGGTGTGCTTTAAAGGGAGGATGGGTTAGTACTTTTTAAATTAAACCCTAATAACGCTTAAACACGGCGACTGAATACAGATTGTGTGGCAGAGCACAACGTGCTGCACAAAGATGTAAAATGTGTTCTTTTATTTATTTATTTATTTTAGGAGAGGGCGGGAGAACTGCTGGGAATATGTAGAGGGAGTCCAATGCTCAAAGTCCACTGGTTGGACAACATTAACCCTCCACCACCTCCATGAAACAGTTTTAGTCTGTGAAGCAGCAGCTCTGAAACACACCGCATGTCTCATGATCCTCACAGACCGAGCCTCCTCGAGCTGTGACAAAAGAAAGACCATTTCTGAACAGCTCCAGGCGCAAACAAACACGGAAAAAGTGGCTTCTCTGCAGAAACTGTCTAAACAGTCGGAAAGCAAATTTTTTATTTTAGGAATTTATACCCGAGCAAAATAATTTCGCGAGGAAAAGCAGCTGCCAGTGGTGGCAATGTGAAGCCTTTGAAAAAAAGACGACTCATATAAAGAAGCTGAGGATCGAATAGAAGAACAAATAAATTCTCCAACCCTTCATAATTAAAATTTTGTCATCTAAGCTGTATAAATAAAGGTTGAATGAATAAATGCTTCAATTGCAGCTCAACTTTAACGCTGCATGTTGGACATAAAATCATCTACAATTTAAACAGGTTTCTTTATTTATTTTTATCATTTTAAATTGGTAAAGCGTCTCATGAGCTGGGGCAGAGGACGAGGTCACAGGGCGTGCGCGCGCCGCACCGACGTCAGCTGCTCGCCTGTCCACGGCACCCGGCAGGGTGCAGCTCCGACTCAGTACCGCTAGAGGGCACTGCAGAGACAGCAACATTTCAGAGCCTTGGAAGGACTGACCTCTGATTTTTATTAGAAATATTAATTGTATAATGTCGCCATGAACCTAAAACGCAACACTCATTGGAATCACGCTTAACATGTAAATAAAACAGAACACAATGATTTATACGTCTGTTAAACGCAGAATACACGACAGGGAACATATCAAATGGTGAAACTAAGAAATTGTACAATTTAAAGGGAAGAAAGGTTGTTTAAAATTTACTGGCAGCAACACATCTCAAAAAAGTTTGGTCATGGCCATGGTTCCCTCTGTGAAACATCTTATCTTCTTTTAGCAACAGTCTGTAAACCTCTAAGAGCAGAGGAGACCTGCTGCTGGAGGTTTTGGAGGGAATGATGACCCATTCTTGTTTGACGTATAGGATTCTAGCTTCAACAGTCCTAGGCCTTTGCTGAATTTTTGTTTTACGAGAACTCACATTATTTCATTTTGTGAGGTCTGGACTGCAGGCAGGCCAGTTCATCACCTGGACTCTTCTACCATGAAGCCATGATGCAATGAAGGCTGTTTGTTGTTCAGCTTTTCTTTTTTTTTCTGATGAAATATACAATGCCATCCATCCATTATCTTTAACCACTTCTTCTTTTTTGGGTCACCAGGGTCACTGGTGCTCATCTCCAACAGTCACTGTGAGAGAGGTGGGGGACACCTTGGACAGGTCTCCAGTCCATCACTGGGACACATGGAGACAAACGAGACAAACAACCATTCACTCTCTCACTCACACCTTTAGAGTTGCCAATCAGTCTAACATGCATGTTTTTGGTCTGTGTGAAGAAACCGGAGAACCTGGAGAAAACCCACACACTCCACCCAGAAAGGCCCCCAGCCAGGATTTGAACCTGGGTGACCTGCTTGCTGAGAGGCAGCAGCTCTAACTGCACCCATATGCAATGCCCTGTTAGAAAAAAAAAATGTCTGGATGGGAGCAGATCTGGTTCTACAACCTGTTTATACTTATCTGGTTAAATGATGCCTTTCCAGATGTGTAAGCTGCATGTGCCATAGGCACTAATGCACCCCTATATCATCAGAGAGGCAGGGTTTTGAATTACGTGCTGATAACAGGTCAGATGGTCCCTCTATTCTTTGATTTAAATTTTTCAAAATTTAATTTGTCTGACCAGAGAATGGTTTTCCAATTTGTCAAACTTTGGTACCAGAGAAGACAGCAGTGTATCTGGATGGTGATCACATATAGCTACTACTTTGTATGATAGAGCTTTAACCAGCATTTGTGGATGGCAGTGAACTGTGTTTACAGACAGTTAAGTGATTTGTGGACCCCAAAATAATCCAGTATTGACTTTCAGTCTTTTCCTTTGAGCTCAGATTTCTCCAGATCCTTGAAATATTTTATCATGAACCATAGATGACGGAATATTTAAGATCTTCTCAATTATTTATTTTTTGGTTTAAGAGCATTATTCTAAATTGTTTCACAATTTATATTCATTTTAGTAACAGACTGGTGAACCTGTGCCCATCTTTACTTTAGAAAGATTCAGCCTTTAGAAAATGTTTTTATTTTAAACCCAGTCCTTTTACTGACTTGTCAATCAACCTAGCTGCAAGATGCTTTTTCAGCTGTTCACATGTACCACTTACTTTTTGTCATCGTCATCAAATTCAAGAGGACCTTTTTGAAATAATTACAAAAAGGCTTAAATTCTTAGTTTGGAGAAGTTTACTTGGTTCCATTGTGAATAAAATATAGGTTTATGAGATTTACAAACCATTGCATTTTTTTTTTTTTTACATTTTATAAAATCACCATTTACAAAATTGGGGCTGTAACTCAATCAAGCCACATCAGGTCACATTTGGTAACAAATATTGGTGAATTTGTTCAGTTTATTTTGTTTCTGCACAAACTGTTTATGATTATGTAATTCTATTTTACAAAATATTAATAAAATGCATTTTGAATTTTTTCTATGGCCCGTTTATAACCTTTCAGTGAATGGTTTAGCCCTATTTACTGACAATTTATTAAATCTTAAACCATCATAATATATAATGACACAACCCTGAACATTTATCCATGATTCATTAAAATGTTTTTAAATAATGTAATGGGTAGCAATTTGTTTTGTGTCAACTACAACAAAATGGTTAACCATAATTAGATAAAATATCAAACACCTACAGTGCCTTGCAAAAGTATTCGGCCCCCTTGAACTTTTCAACCTTTTGCCACATTTCAGGTTTCAAACATAAAGATAAAAAATTTTAATTTTTTGTGAAGAATCAACAACAAGTGGGACACAATCGTGAAGCGGAATGAAATTTATTGGATGTGTCCAACTTTTTTAACAAATAAAAACTGAAAAGTGGGGCGTGCAATATTATTCGGCCCCTTTACTTTCAGTGCAACAAACTCACTCCAGAAGTTCAGTGAGGATCTATGAATGATCCAATGTTGTCCCAAATGACTGATGATGATAAATAGAATCCACCTGTGTGTAATCAAGTCTCTGTATAAATGCACCTGCTCTGTGATAGTCTCAGGGTTCTGTTCAAAGCGCGGAGAGCATCATGAAGACCAAGGAACACACCAGGCAGGTCCGAGATACTGTTGTGGAGAAGTTTAAAGCTGGATTGGGATACAAAAAGATTTCCCAAGCTTTAAACATCCCAAGGAGCACTGTGCAAGCAATCATATTGAAATGGAAGGAGTATCAGACCACTGCAAATCTATCAAGACCCGGCCATCCCTCTAAACTTTCATCTCGAACAAGGAGAAGACTGATCAGAGATGCAGCCAAGAGGCCCATGATCACTCTGGATGCACTGCAGAGATCTACAGCTGAGGTGGGAGAGTCTGTCCATAGGACAACAATCAGTCGTACACTGCACAAATCTGGCCTTTATGGAAGAGTGGCAAGAAGAAAGCCATTTCTCAAAGATGTCCATAAAAAGTGTTGTTTAAAGTTTGTCACAAGCACCTGGGAGACACACCAAACATGTGGAAGAAGGTGCTCTGGTCACATGAAACCAAAATCGAACTGTTTGCCCACAATGCAAAACGATGTGTTTGGCTTAAAAGCAACACATCTCATCACCCTGAACACACCATCCCCACTGTCAAACATGGTGGTGGCAGCATCATGGTTTGGGCCTGCTTTTTGTCAGCAGGGACAGGGAAGATGGTCAGAATTGATGGGAAGATGGATGGGGCCAAATACAGGACCATTCTGGAAGAAAACCTGTTTGAGTCTGCAAGAGACCTGAGACTGGGACGGAGATTTATCTTCCAACAAGACAATGATCCAAAACATAAAGCCACATCTACAATGGAATGGTTCACAAATAAACGTATCCAGGTGTTGGAATGGCCAAGTCAAAGTCCAGACCTGAATCATATCGAGAATCTGTGGAAAGAGCTGAAGACTGCTGTTCACAAACGCTCTCCATCCAACCTCACTGTGCTCGAGCTGTTTTGCAAAGAAGAATGGGCAAAAATTTCAGTCTCTCATGTGCAAAACTGATAGAGACATACCCCAAGAGACTGTAGCTGGAACTGCAGCAGAAGGCAGCGCTACAAAGTATTAACACAAGGGGGCCGAATAATATTGCACGCCCCACTTTACAGTTTTCTATTTGTTTAAAAAAGTTTGACACATCCAATAAATTTCATTCCACTTCACGATTGTGTCCCACTTGTTGTTGATTCTTCTCAAAAAATTAAAATTTTATATCTTTATGTTTGAAGCCTGAAATGTGGCAAAAGGTTGAAAAGTTCAAGGGGGCCGAATACTTTCGCAAGGCACTGTAATTTTTCACATAAAGTCACCCTGAGAAATTTAATATATTAGTTTCATTTTTAGACTTCATGGCAAAAATTGAACTCAAAATACTGGATTGCAAAGAAGTCTCTATAAAACTGAATGAACTATATAGTCAAGAAAATCAACTGATACACAACAGTAACTACGACAAACTGGATGTTGAGTTTACAAGTATATTTATATTATTTTGTAAAAGGTGAGGACAGTAAAAAATACACCATTAAAGACAACAACAGTAAGTTACATATGATTTTCCTATACACCTGGTATTTTAAAGGTAAAACTCTTGACAATACGTATTGTAACATACATATATAACATTAAAAAAAATCTGTCCTTACACTGAAATCCCCCCTTTCTTTTACAAAATAACACATCCTTCATCACATACAGGTGTAGTATCAAACATGCTGAAACTCCTTCCATTAAAGCTGATGAGAGTTCATAAAACAGATGGAAAGGCTGTCCATATAACGCTTGAGCTTAACAGGAGGTGGACTGGAGTCAGAAAATATTAAAATCATCTTTTGTTTATAGAGAAGACACCTCCAGTAAAAAGTTTTACAGTGCAAGTAGTTCAACTTAGCATGGATTTAAAATTCACTCCACCTTTACAGTAGTTTCTACAACAGCTGGACCAGCAGTGTTCTCTCTCTAGCTGGCTACAGTCGAGTCATTTGCATCTAAAACCAGATCTGTACACACACCCAGGCCACGTGAGTAACTACGTAGTGCACATACCCTTTTTGTACCTTCATTTACATTAGCATGAATGGGCTATACCTGGTTTATACAGCATTAGTTTGTGCCAGTGCATTCAAAATTTCATAATACAGTACATTAAATGCATACCTGCAAACTCAGAAGGGGTGAAAAAGGTGACAAACATAGCAGATGCAGATTCTGTGATTTTTAACATGTAAATTAAGCATTCTGGTATACTCCAAGAAGAAAATTTGGTGAAAAGACAACGTGCTTCAGGTAAAAAAAGACGTGCCCTAATTTAATTAGGACATACATAGGAAAGATGGCAAGTCAACAACAAAAAAATAAAATAAAATAAACAAGCAACATCAGCAGCAAGCCAACCACAGAAACCAAATATAGCAGAGCATTTTGCTAATAGCAAAAACTAATTTCTCAATTTTTTTGGGCCTGGACAAGCCTGAAGGGCCCATTTCAGCTGCATGACCATGTGCCTTTTTCATGCCACACTCTCTTGCTCCACCACTTCTGCCATATTTATCGCCCTAATGCTCCACCAGAGCAGATGTTTTGATCACTGAAACAAAACACTGGTGTGTCACGTTTCATTGGCACCAACGTTACGCGTTAGTTGTCATTTCTCTTATCTTATGGCAACAACGCATTATTTTTGGACAACGATACGGATGCATTAGAGACAGCCTTCCCAAAATTATTCGCATTGAACCGAGTGACATTGTAGGCCAACGTTAATGCACAATTCACTGATGTTAGCGGACATCCTAGCTAGCATTACATGTTGACAAACTTTCCATTACAGATAACGTTTGTTGCTGCTGCAAACGTCTTCAGTTGATCCAAAATGCTGCTGCCAGAATCTTAACTGGAGTTAGTGGGAGAGCTCATATTTCTCCAGTTTTAGCTTCTCTCCATTGGCTCCCTGTCAAATCCAGAATTGAATTCAAAATCTTACTTCTAAACTTAAAGCTCTCAACAACCTGGCTCCATCTTATATTACAGATCTTATTGTTCCATATTTTCCTAACAGAGCACTTCGCTCTCAGGCTGCAGGTTTACTTGTGGTTCCTAGAATTTACAAAAGCAGACTGGGAGGCAGATCTTTCAGTTATCAGGCTCCTTTATTGTGGAACCAACTTCCAATCTCTGTCCGTGAGGCTGACACATTATCCAGTTTTAAAACTAGGCTTAAGACTTTCCTTTTTGCTAAATCCTATAGTTAGGGTCGGCTTGGGTTTCCTGAGCTGTCCCTTAGTTAGTTATGCTGCTATAGGCTTAAGACTGCTGGAGGACAAACTGACCACAATTTTCACTCTGCTACTGTCTTTACTTACTCTGCTCAACCGGTTTTGTATTTGTAATTATTTTTCCATCCTTATCATATGTCTTTTTGGCTTTCAGATACACCTGGACCTACCATTCTATGTTCGTCTGTCTCTCCTTCCTGTCCTCTCAACCAGCCAGTCAAAGCAGATGGCCACTTGTCCTGAGCCTGGTTCTGCTGGAGGTTTCTTCCTTTTAAAAAGGGAGTTTTTCCTTTCCACTGTTGCCACTGTGCTTGCTCAGGATGGGAGACTGCAACGAAGCCAAGATTCAACTTGTCTGCTGGATTCCTTAGATAGAGAACTTTACTAATTGGCTTTTATGTATGTGAATGTTTCTGTAAAGTGCTCTGAGACAACTTTGTTGTGATTTGGCACTATATAAATAAACTGAATTGAATTGAATTGGAAAAAGTAACAAATTACGATGCGCACAATGTTGCTAAAATAGGATCTTTTTTTTTTTTTTTTGCCAAATCAAGTTTAACTTACACAGCATATTATATTGTTGGCAGATAATGAGATTGACCTCAAAGCTAACAGTGTCCAACATTAGAAGTATAACAGACCAGTTTCCTTCGTCCATGGGAAAGATTTCCCTGTCGTCTGTCTTGATTGTGATTTGCCAAAAGACTTGCGTTCCACCAATGATGTTCTATTGTAGACAGAAACCTTCTTGTTTCCTAAAGTCCAGTCAATGGGAAATTATGCCATCTATCACACCTCTGACACCCCCCCCCCCTGGAAAAATCTCTTTGGATCTAGACGATTCACGTAAATTACATTTTGTTTGAAATTGGCAAATTTTGCAGAAAAGCCACAAGTTTGCAGGTATATGATTCATACAGATCCAAAAGGTGAGCATAATAAAAATAACATAAGTGAAAAACAAAAGATTCGATTCATATTAGATTGTTGACCCCAGCATCAACAATCATGACACTGGTTTAAGAATTTCCCTTACTTTTCTGAAGCTTTACACTCAGTTGTTCATGTTCACAGCTGAAACAAGACTGTTTTTTGAGATGCCAGAGAGCATCTTGGTATCATTTTACCTCATCCTCTAATGGAGGAACTGGAAAAGTCAGGCTCACAGCCAGTCAACCCTACACCACATGAAGATTAAACAGAACGAAGTAAGAGCCTATAGTAAAGTGTGCTGAACGACGATGTTTCTGAAGAGTTTGCCGTTTCATTTACTTATCAGTGGCTCCATTCTGGGGTTGACAAAAGAAAAGCCACTGAATGCATTCTGGTCCATGGTTTCAATGAGTTTTTTGTCACCATGTGAGAGACGGGGCTTCTCGTTCAGGAACTCTCGATCGAAGTTGCTGCAGTCGTTGGGAGATTTCTGTAGGCAGGTCAGAGAGTTCAGTTAGCCTACAAGCATCTTAAAATACTGAGAATACATGCAGGCGTTTCTAAATGCATAGGTGCCCATGCAGATGTGCAAGGCTCATACCACTTTAGGCTTGAAAGGAGGCTCAACTTGTCTCTTGGCCAGTGCTGGCCAGTTGATGACTTTAAAGAAAGAGTGCAAACGAATGTCGCCCACCACACCCAACCTTTTGCTGGGGTCTCGCACAAACAACTGAAGAAATCACAGGAAACATTTACTACTGAGAAACAACCCCAAGTCTCTGTAATACTAAGTGGATGTCCATAAAAGTTTAACTATTCACCTGTTCAAGTAGGCTTTTGGATTCCTTGGTGAGCCAACGAGGGTAGTGCGGGGTTTCTGTTCTGATGGAGTCGAACAGCTGGTCCTCATCGTCACCTTGAAACGGTGACTGACCAATCAGCATCTCGTAAACTAGCACGCCAAATGACCACCAGTCCACTGAGAAAGTGTACTTCAGTCCAAGCAGGATCTGAGGTAAGAAGACAGTTCATCAGAGGCATGTAAAAAGTAACAAGTGTTGCACGTAGATGCTGCATGTCTCCTAACACCCAGAGGCACACAGACATATTAGTACATGTAGAAATACAGGTAAGACAAGTGATTCTAAAAAATAAAAAAGCAACATTAACCAAGTCGTCAAACTAACCTCAGGCGCAATATAGTCCGGTGTTCCACAGAATGTGCTGGCTCTGTTCTCTGCAGAGATCCTCTCTCTGCACATGCCAAAGTCTGCGATTTTAACATGTCCGTCCTTGTCCAGCATAATATTGTCCAGCTTCAAATCTCTGTAAGCCAAAAGACGGAGAGATAACAAAAAGACCTAGATCATTCCAAGGAGCTCAAAAACCTATAAAAATACTTCATAGTCTATGAAGCAACATGCTGAGTAAAACTCAGTGTTTAGTCTTACCTGTAGACGATGCATTTAGAGTGGAGGAACTGCAGCCCCAATACTATCTCTGCAGCATAGAATCTAAATAAAATAAAATGAAGAAATAAAGTGAAACAGTTATGACCGCAACTCAGTGTTACATTTGTGGAGATCAAACGCCGCGGCACCCAAGGCATAATTTCCCTGCATACTCACGTAGCTCTGTTGAGATCAAAGCGGCCTTTTTCTTGAATGTGAAACATCAAGTCGCCTCCATTCAGGTACTCCATAACAAAGAAGAGATGCTCCTGAGGAAACGAGATGTTACTGTCAGACACAAATGAAGACACAAACAGTCCAAGTGTGTGTTTTATTTCCTGTTAGAGATTGCACCATAATATTAGTAAACCCATAACAAGATTTACTAATAGAGATGAACAGTAATGTCTTTACTTTGGTCTGGAACGTGGAGTAGAGGTGGGTGAGAAAAGGGTTCTCCCAGGCCAGAGACAGGACTCTCTTCTCTACCATGGTGCACTCCACATCATCATCCATGATAACCACGTCCTTCTTTAGAACCTTCACAGCAAAGTACTGTCCCTGTCCTTTCAGCTCTGCCAGCATCACCTATGGACGGTAAAAATGGGAGATGATGTACATGAGTTCATCTCAGTGGGAACATTTTTAGCAACAAAGCTCTAAGGTCTTTCCTCTTGCCATTTGCTCCTACTACACAATGAGGGATCACTGTTTTATTGGCGTTTATGCTGTGTTACAGTGACTTTAAGGTGAGGAACGTGTTGCGGGGCGTACCTTGCCAAAGCTGCCTTTTCCCAGCACTTTATGGAACACAAAGTGGTTGAAGGTGAGACGAGTCTGTGGAGTCGTAACTGCAGACGGGGTGGGGCTCACTCCCATGTCCTTGTCACCAGGAGTAACTACACATTTGCACATTTTGAGTAAATGAATACGCAAACCTGTGTGCAAATATTCATGCAAATATCTCAACAATGCCAGACAATTCACAAGAATAGAGGTAAACGGAGGATCAGCAACCAACTAATATAATGAAGCGTGATGATTTGGGTGAAACTTGACAGAAATCAAACAATTTATAACACTTCCGGTGCCAAATTCTGCATAATTTATCTTACCACTAGGTTCTGTTATGGCATTTTTGATGTCTTGATAGATGCCAATATCTGGTCCGCTGGGCTCATCGTGCTTCTTGGTGGATTTCTAAGATAAAAAAAATAAAGTTCGCTTTAATGTATTTGACATATAAGAACCTTCAGTATAAAACAAAAAACAAAGTACACTGGCTGTACGAACCTGGGAGATTTGAGACAAAGCTTCTGCCAGCATTTTCTGGTTGATTCCACATAGATTGGCCACTTTTACTTGGCAGTAACTATGAACATTCATGCTACAGTCTGGTCAGCAGCATCAACAAATCATGAGCCAGGCAGGGATGGGGAATACATAAAAAGATAATGTTATAGTCATAACAGAACGCAAGAGGAAGGCAAATACAGGTGCTGGTCATAAAATTATAATATCATGAAAAAGTTGATTTATTTCAGTAATTCCATTCAAAAAGTGAAACTTGTATATTATAGCTATTCATTACACACAGACCGATATATTTCAAATGTTTATTTCTTTTAATGTTGATGATTATAACTGACAACTAATGAAAACCCCAAATTCAGTATCTCAGAAATTTAGAATATTACTTAAGACCAATTAAAAAAAGGATTTTTAGAAATGTTGGTCAACTGAAAATTATGAACATGAAAAGTATGAGCATGTACAGCACTCGATACTTAGTTGGGGCTCCTTTCGCCTGGAGGGGGCCGAGATGGTGTAGAGGCAGGGCAGCCGGCTTTGGACCCGAAAGTCCCAGGTTCGATCCCCAGTCACTGCACATCACGTGGCGTCTCTGGGCAGCACACCTCATCCCCAAAATGCCCCCCGGGCGCTTTCAATAGCTGCCCACTGCACCACCTGGCGGTGGATGGGTTAAATGCAGAGACTAATTTCGCCATTGTATGGAAACATACAGTGCTGACATTGTGATGACATTATTATTATTATTATTATTACTGCAGTAATGTGGCGTGGCATGGAGTCGATCAGTCTGTGTCACTGCTCAGGTGATATGAGCCCAGGTTGCTCTGATAGTGGCCTTAATTGGCCATCTGAATTGTTGAGTCTGGTGTATCACATCTTCCTCTTCACAATACCCCATAGATTTTCTATGGAGTTAAGGTCAGGCAAGTTTACTGGCCAATTAAGAACAGGGATACCACGGTCCTTAAACCAGGTACTAGTAGATTTGGCACTGTGTGCAGGTGCCAAGTCCTGTTGGAAAATGAAATCTGCATCTCCATAAATTGGTCAGCAGCAGGAAGCATGACATGTTCTAAAACTTCCTGGGAGATGGCTGCGTTGACCTTGGACCTCAGAAAACACAGTGGACCAACACCAGCAGATGACATGGCACCCCAAACCATCAATGACTGTGGAAACTTGACACTGGACCTCAAGCAACATGGATTCTGTGCCTCTCCTCTCTTCCTCCAGACTCTGGGACCTTGATTTCCAAAGGAAATGCAAAATTTACTTTCATCAGAGAACATAACTTTGGACCACTCAGCAGCAGTCCCAGGCGAGACGCTTCTGATGCTGTCTCTTGTTCAAGAGTGGCTTGACACAAGGAATGTGACAGCTGAAACCCATGCCTTGCATACGTCTGTGCGTGGTGGTTCTTGAAGCACTGGCTCCAGCTGCAGTCCACTCCTTGTGAATCTCCCCCACATTTTGGAATGGGTTTTGTTTCACGATCCTCTCCAGGGTGCAGTTATCCCTATTGCTTGTACACTTTTTTCCACCACATCTTTTCCTTCCCTTCACCTCTCCATTAATGTGCTTGGACACAACGCTCTGTTAACAACCAGCCTCTTTAGCAATGACCTTTTGTGTCTTGCCCTGCTTGTGCAAGGCATCAATGGTTGTCTTTTGGAGAAGTGTCAAGTCAGCAGTTTTCCCCATGATTGGGTAGCCCACAGAACTAGACTGAGAGACCATTTAAAGGCCTTTGCAGATGTTTTGAGTTAATTAGCTGGTTAGTGTTGGCACCAGGTGTCTTCAATATTGAACCTTTTCACAATATTATAATTTTATGAAATACTGAATTTGGGGTTTTCATTAGTTGTCAGTTATAATCATCAACAGTAAAAGAAATGAACATTTGAAATATATCCGTCTGTGTGTAATTAATGGATATAATATACAAGTTTCACTTTTTGAATGGAATTACTGAAACAAATCAACTTTTTCATGATATTCTAATTTTATGACCAGCACCTGTATATCTAGGCTCACGGGAAAACATGCAAGCTTTTAGATTCACCTTCACATTTAAGGCCCTGCTTGTAGAGACCCCACAGCAGGCTGCCACAGTGGTCACAGAATGTGGGGCTTTTGTAGTTATAAGTCTTGAAGCGATGCGGCATGTCTACCTTGAAACGCTCCTTTTGGAACTACGAGCACATAGAAATCAGTTGAAACTCATGGAAATGAAAGGTTTTAACTGCTTTTGAGGGAAAGGAAATGACATTAAACATTTTCTCTGATTGAACACAGTACAAATGGAGGATTTACAGAGCCGTTACTGAAACCACAGAGGGGAAAGTAAACAAAATAAGCGCAATCATTTGTAAAACAACGGCCTTTACTGCCATAAGGTTGACATTTTACGTTCATTAACTTCACTCACCATCGTATCACGGCTGTTGGTGGCTGTTCCAGTGCACCTGCCAATAATCATTTCAATACACTTCTTGTGGATTGCAGCATTGCATTCTGGGTGAAACAAAAAAGTGAGACACAGTGTTAACTGAAATGTGTAGGAAAATTCAAACCTACAAGGCTACATTAGTGCTAAATGATGAAAGAGACCAGCTGAAACAAACACTCACGTCTGCATTTGTAACCTTGCTTGTTGAGTCCCCTTCATGACAGAAAGGCAAAAGATAAATGACAATATTTAAGACATGAAGAAATGTGCACAAATAAATAATTCTCGCTATTAGAACAAGTGCTGTTTCACTCTGTGGTTGAAGGATTTGAATAGTAAATGTCTGTAATTTTCTACATGAGTTTTTCTGGACTGGAATTGGACAGGGGATTCAAGTAAACCTTAATGTTTTTAATGCAACATATTCAAGTGAGTAGGCGTTACACTGTGTAGAAAAATGGAGATAAGTGTTTTTTTTTCTTGTCCAATGTGACAGAGTGATGGATCCTGGTGAGCAGAGAGAACATTTTTCCGTCACTAAATGCGTTGGTGGAGCCAGGGGGTGGCCAATGGCGTCTTTGGCTACCATAGATTAATCTTCAGCCATGCCAATCATTTGAGGAAACTATACTTTTAAGCAATATAAAAACTTGAAAGCTTATTTTCTTCAAATGATAGGGGTGTCCAGTTTACACACATGGTGGTGGCCATCTTGGATTCTGGAGTGTAATCCTATTTTCAAAAGGAAACTTTCTTATGCCTAAAAGCAGCCACACACCAAAACGGAAGTTTCCCCGTTGCCCATCTTTCAAGTAACCAAGCTCACAAAGCTTACAAATATATATGGCGGCCATCTTGGATTGTGACTTGGAAACCCATAAGGAACCTTTCTTACACCTAAACGCAGCCACATACCCAAATGGTGCATCACTAAATTTTCAAGTTATCGTGCTCACAACACGCACAGATGGATAGCAGGATGGTGGGATTTTCCAATTCCCGCTTTTTGCTCCACAATGGGGGACAAAAATGCACCCAGAATGATTATTACCAAAGAGTTTTAGTTATGAAAGAGCTGCACCTTTGTTGGTATGAGAACATAACATGCCCACTGTATATAACAGAAATAGGATAAAATCAGGATGTTTTAATAATTTGATTTTGCACAGAAGCTGTAGGGAACACGGGATATTTTCCTGTCTGACAAAAGGGATAAATAAATATTACAGTTTAGAGGTAGGGGAAGACACTGGCTCTCAGATTAGTGCTGCAGCCAACGTTGCATGACAGGCTTGTGGGATATTACTCGACAGTGATTCATTCTCACAATGGCAGCCTTCCAGCTGTATCAAAAACAAAGCTGCATTGCTAAGAAACATTGAAAGATCTACTCCCCTTTATTAAAAGTAACTGAAAATCCAACCTTAATAAATGTTTACGTATTTAACATTCTCACCAACATTATACTTTCTGTGACAGCTGGTGTGTAAAAGACTTCAGCATCTCACCAGAGGAAGTCCCTGCAGACAGAGCAGAATGTGGGCTGGCCAAAGAAGGTGGCGGTGAACTCATGGTTCTTGATGACATGAATCCTCGGTTGCTTGAAAGCTCCTCTCCTCCTGTTGAGGGTCAAGACTCCATCTTCAGGAATGGACTTCACTGACGCCGCTGAGAGAAGAGATCAGTTTACAAGTCAGATCACTGGATTTCTGGTCTGATCTGTAGAAATCAGTCATGTTTTGACTGATTTCAAAGGATTTATGATGGTTGCTTATAATTTGTTTGCCTATTTGCTCAATGAATATAATTTCACTCCTAATATTTTTTACTTGGTGTTTTTGTAACAAGCTGTATGAATAAAATTTTAAAAAGCAATATGAGTTTGAGAAAGGGTGCAGGTTAATGGAAGCTCCCTCTTCATTAAGTCAAGTTCTAATGGGTCAAAAGTCATTCATAGAAAACAGCAAATGACACTTCAGGGCAACAGCTCTTCCCATTTTACTATCACAGGTTTGTGTTTGGCGAACATCTCAGCGAGCCAGGCCAAGACAGAAGGAGGGAAACAAAAAGACAGAAAGAAGAGGCCAACTCTTTTCACACAAACCTAAATAAACTGCAGGCTTCTTTTCAGGAAACCTGTGGCGTGTGTGGGAGGGAGACGATGAAGAACGAAGCTGTTTTATAATAGTGGCTTCCTCCATCCCAGATCAGAGATCCCCAACTGTGCTAAACCCACACAGAGAATCCAATTACACAAAACCAGTCAGGAAATATCCCAGGGATGTCTCTGCCACTGTGACTATCACAGGCTTCCCTGTCGAAGTGACAAAACTGGCAGCTAATTTAGCCAACCAGTGCTGAATTAAGTTTAAAAGCACGTCTTTGGAAAACAACATAAAACAAGTTCTGTTTGTTATAAAACAAACTGTCTATGGAGGACAATATGCTGCTGAAAACTACATCTTAACCCACATTTTCTTTTAAGTCAATCCTCAAACATCTCAAACACCTCAAGGAAAAAAAAGTGAAAAACTAAATCACATACACGTTTAAGCAAACTCAAAATACTAGTAAAGTCCTAAGTATGTTGTATCTGGGAAAATGTGGACTTTGTGCATCTTTGTACAAATATTAAAAGTCTTAACTGTCCAACACAGAAACTTTGTTGTAACACTTAGATCTTACAACCACACCTAACGTCAGCTGACCAGTGCAATGTGAAATACAAAACCAGTTTACAGACTCAGAGCATATCAGTTCCACAACCTGCACCCAGATAAACACTAACGGGCTCACTACAGCGTGGCCGTGGATGACAGAACGGCAGACGTGGACACTTCTGAGGAGGTGTTCCTGCCAGTAGAGGGCAACATGCAACCACACAGAGGGAGGACATGTGAGACAGAGACCAAAATAACAGGACAGGGATCACCAGCTGCTGCACTGAGACGTCCACTCCCACATACAGCACAACTCCCTGGTGGTCTAGTGGCTAGGATTCGGCGCTCTCACCGCCGCGGCCCGGGTTCGATTCCCGGTCAGGGAATAGAATCATATGTTTTTTGTCTGTTAACATTTTCTTTGTTAAATTGTTTTGCAGAAATGACAAAAAGCAAAAAAATTAACCATTTAGAGAGTATTTCTCAAAACAAATGATCTGCTTTTGGGTAAATGTGGAAACGCTCAGCTGGTTAAACTTATGTTATGAGCTAATGAGTTATTATTCTTTATTTTCCATATGACTCCATGCGTTTTATTTATGCATCTAGTTGTATTAAGAGCCCTAAGACTGAGAGTTTACCATATGCATTACCTTTTTCAACTGCATCAATGTTCTCCAGGAACAACTGCACATTGATCTGGATTTTCCCTGAAGGAAGAAGATCCACCCAGAAATCGTCACGACTATTGGTCTTGGACTTCTTACAGCGCTCTGCGAGCACCGACACACCCAGAGTGACTTTGGCCAGCGGCTCCTCGGTGCTCTTCATAAGGATCATTTCTATGACACGTCCCTCATAGATGTGAGCATCAAAAGCGGATTTCCAAGGTGGATACACGGTGGGCTTCCTCTGGACCAGGGTTTTCCCTCGCTCTGTCAAAGAACATGGGTATCATCATGGTTGTTGCCGCTTCCGAAAAAATTACAGTAGATTGTTGCAGAACCAAGCTTCAGGAGAAAATGATGCAACTAAACTGATTATATGGCACCCCCACTAACTTTACAGGTCCTTCATCTTACAAAACAACAACTGTATACAGATACACACATACCTGTGGTGACGGCCTCCTTTATCCTGATGGCACAGATGGGAGCCTCTGTCAGTGCAGGCAGGGAACCCATTTCAAAAGTATTCAGGTAGATACGAAGAAAAGGTGCCATGATGACGATTCACCTGGGCCTCCTACAAAAACAAACAGTCTGTTAGGACTTCATCTTGTGTTTGTATTGCTCAAGATCTGCACTCAAAACAAAGGGAAACGCTTCAGATGGCTCCCTCAGATCGGACCTAGAGGATGTTTCCAACTCAGCACACAAGTTTAAAAAAAGACACGCAGCTGCCACTAATGAGTGAACACTGTACACACGAGCATGTTTGACTGATGAGAGAAACAAGGTCGAAAAAGACCAAATTATAAAAAGACGTACCACATTTTTCACTGTATAAGTTGCACCCTTTAGCATACATTTGCAAGTCCTGCGGCTTATACACCGAAGCGACTAATATATGTTTTTCCCCATTTTATAACTCAATATTTGGCTAAGATCTGACGATTTCATTCATTCTGACATGGAAAATATCGAACACTACCATTTCCAGCCACTAGAGGGCCCTCAAGCAATATGGCAAGCCAAGCGTCTCATTAATAGGTAAAAGTGGCAATTAATGAGACACTTGGCTTGCCATACCAAGTCACCTTTGTCTCGCTCTGGAACTGCTGGAGCAAACATCAAATCAGCTTCATTTTGACGTGCCACCCAGGCGAAATGCAGCTGATTTGACCATTAAAGTGCATTTATTAAGTAAAAGTTCAACTGAGACACCTTTGCTATAATGTCGAGCAAACAAATAATTGTTTTTAAGTGTTAATCTTATTAAATTCTTGTTACAGACCTCCCGTGCACGCTCCCGCAGCTGCCATTTGGCAGCCAATCGATTTTTGGCACAACACCAGCCCACATTTCCGGGTGGTCAGCAGTGACACATAATGGATGCGACGTGTACGGCAGTGCGACGTGTACGGCGGCAAGCACGGTAATGATGACCTTGACTAAAAATACATTTTTAAACATAAAATTGTTCTGCATACGGTATGTGTTATGGTATAATGCAGTTATTAATTCTTTAGATTTTAAATGAACACATCACTCAGCTAGCAGTGTGAAGTTTTGCCACAAGTCTAACAATATCCTGAAGAGCTCAGTTTTTCCTGACAACTCAAACTGCTGTCAGTATATAAAGGAAATGAAAACGTTAGTTTCTAAGATGCAGTGAAACCTAAGTGTTCATGAATGTTCTAGCTTCTAAAGGTGTGATAGTAAATGCTTTTAATTTGTTTAATTTATTGCGGGTGCTGCAGATAACACTGCTGCTCCATAGGACCTGCACTTTTGTATTTTGAGCAGCTTCACATGTTTAGAAAATGGTTATTCTTCAAGTGTTAAATGACCTGCCTAAACAACAGAACTAACTTTCAAAAAAATGTATCGTTTTCTGTAGAGCAGCAAGTTAAAAACTGTGTGTAAAAAAAAAAAAACTACCGGTATTCTAATGCTAAAACATTTGGCATTAACAGAACTGCTTTGTTGCATTATCAAAAGCACAAGCAGCGACTAACAGTCCTCTAAGAATTTGTAATAAAGACCTTCTTATTAAACCCATCCACACTACAGTCATGAATGGTTGAATACAATAAAAGAATTATAAAACTCAAAACTTGTCTTTAAAACCTTTAATTTCTCGGCTTTTAGAGGAACTGGAAACAAAAAGCAGGAGATGTTCAACCTTTGGCTGCTACTGTTAAAGATTAACTACGGCCTCACGTTTCCACACCTTGAAGAACGTTAATGAGTTTTGGAAGAGGAGAGCACGAACTGTTGAAATCTGTTTTGAAGTCGTCCTACTGGAGAATCAAACCACTGATTCATACGATGATGAACGTCTTGTTTTCACAGTAACAAAGTGAGAACACTCCTGTTTGTCTGCATTCTTTTAATATTTTAGATTAAAGGATGGAATTTTTCCAGGCTTACGGTACTTTTATACTGACGTCATGTTTCATGAGATATGCATCATAACTACGGCCCGTGGGCCACATGCGGCCATTGGAGGGATTGTGTGGCCTGCGACAACAGTTTAACTTTGGCCTCAAGAGATTGATGCAAATAGGCACCTTTTGTTAATTTTTAGGGTGATTTCTTTAATATTTATATATATTTTTAGAATAAATAGAAAAAGAGGTAAAAAAAATAATGTGCAATACAATTTTTGTTTAGATACATTCAATACTTTTATTGATATTTCATGTTATAAAGGACACCAAAACTTTACTGACTTTTACTGATTTTGATGAAAACTTTTTCACTAAAATATTAATGTTGAGAGTTTAATAAAAAAAATAAAAAAATAAAAAAAAAATCACAAAAATAAAAGTATACTTTTTTAAATATCAAAATAATGTAATAATAATACAGTTTGTGTTCACACATTGCTCTGCAGACAAGAACTAAATTACAGTTTTAACTTCCTGGGATAAACTAAAGTACTGAGCTGACTATTAAAGCATTTGACTATTTCTCAGAGAAGACCTGAAAACGTCCCTGAACCCGTTCGTAAATTAACTAAACGTTGAGTGTTGGGGTGTCAATGCAGCAGCTGTCTGAAGCGCTAACCTGCAACTTTTTTCTTTAAAGCCAAGTAATAAAGTGGGACTTACTTTTGGAATAATCTAAGGTGACAAAACACAAACATTCTGATGTGCAGTAAGAACAAACATCTAAAATAGATATTACAGCTACTGCCAGTGGCTTATTAGGGTCTAGAGCTGTCATTTCTAACCTGAGCCTGAAGTCTGGCCCGACCTGAATTTGAGCCGGGCCAGGCTGGTCGCAGGCTTGGAAGCAGTTTTATAAATCATACAGCACAAATAAAACTAAAGAAGAATGCACAACATAAAATTGTGTTAATCTACTTATAGAGGAGGAGGCAGGTTCGACCGGCCGGTTGAAAGAGGTAAAAAAAAGTTGCGTTAAGTTCAGATGGATCAGCTGATCACCGGCCGCGTGTCTCCTCACCTGCTGTCATCTGCGGTGAAGGAAGTAGCAGCATCTACAAAAGCTGAAGCGAGCAGCGCGTTCAATTAAAATAGCCTTGTTCTATAGTTTTCCAAATAATTTTGCTCTAAAAATATTTTTGTTAATCTGTAATGGCCTATTTTAAGAGATGATTTTTTTAGGCTATTCGCTTTGTATGTTAATATCCATTTGGTGAAACAAGAAATCTTATATCTTTCTTTCATTACGTTTTTAAAATATCATGTCAAACTGATTTGCTTACAAAAGCAGTAAAAGCTTAATAAAAAAAAAAAGGCTCGAATGCAACTCTATTACAGTCATCATGGTAACCGCACACCTGTATCTGTTGCTCCCTGACAGCGCTCTTCATGAGACAGGCAGAAAAAGTAGAAACAAGCCTCTAACAGAGTTACAGCCTGCTACGAGTCACACTGAAGTGATTCCTGAACTGTAAGAAACAGAAACATCTGCTGGTCACACATGTCTATTTTTGTGTCTATGGGGTTTGGTGTAGGAGACATAAGAAGTAAAACAGCCTTTCACTTTCAGTTAAGAAAACTGAGCTCAGACACAATGGACGTCAACGAGTATTTGGGTGTGCGCACCTTGGGATAAACAAATCAAATACAAACTGGGTAAGAACTAGACAAAAAGTCCTCAATTTGATGTAAAAACTGCACGAGAAGTGTAAACAACAATATGCTCTAAACTGAGAATGCTGTGTAACAAAAAGAAAAACTAATTAAAATTGAAATAATAACATCAAAATGCCAGTTCAGTCATGTGAAATCCAATTTTCTGTACTTGCTTAAACTTAATTATGCATTAGCTGTGAGTTGTTCAGAACAGTTTGTGGAGTAGAAAATCAAAACTTGTAATTAAAACAAAAGATTAATAGCAAATTAGTAATGGGGTGCTTCATGGCCTGTGCACGAGAAACCCTAATTGTGAGCAGAAAAACACAAAACTTTAACCACAATGCACACACATCATGCTTTAATGTGTGCTGTGATTAAATGATGATCCACAAACTGAGTTGCTTTAAGGAATTTGCTGATTGTCTACTAAAGCAATAGATCTGTGATAAAGAGGAAGTGAATAACAGCAACATGCTGTCTCCGAGATGGAGCGCTCGACTCCAAGCTGCTTCAGTTATCAGCCTTACTTAGCAGACAATATGTTTGTTACTGCACAGAAGTGATAAGCACCATACGTGTTTACATTTTTATTTATCACGTGCTGATTTAAGGCTCCTAAACAAGTGGTGTTTTGTCTCTGACTGCTCTAAAAACCATTCAAGTGAGCTGAGAAAACATTTCAGCTCTCATAATACGCCCCATACTGTATGTGCAGATATTCTCCCATTAATAGTAAACAAAGTCCAGGAGGCAGCATGTATATGGTCAAAATTAATTCACACCGGACTTCTCTTATGTTCACAAACAGAGTTTAGAATAGAGAGCTTGGTTTCCCCAGAGAAAGTGGAAAAAATGAGCACATGTAATCTGGAAAGGGGTGGAAAAGAAATCAACCACCCACTGGAGGGAAGGACGTGGGGGTGGGGGTCAGATTTACCTTCAGTAAAGTCAGCAACAATGAATTCAACAACCAGCACAGAACGTATTTGTTGGACATTTGCTGAAACGTGTCAGTAAATGTCCAACATGGGCTCTTCCTTCAGAAGTCTGTGTTGAAACATCAAATTTTACACAACACTTTGTAAAATAAAAGGCGCCGTAACATGTGGAAAAAAAAAAGAAGACATCTTTACAACCAGGGTAAATACAGCTCCACTA